GCTTTTGCGCCAGCTGCCTGCAGCTGCTAGGCTGCACCATGCTCTGCCTTTCCCCCTGTGCCTGGGCTCACCCTAGCTTTTGAGGTATACTGTGTTGTGGTATAGGCAGCTGGTGTTGGCTGCTCCTCGGGCCACTCCAGCATGGGCTGTGGTGAGTGCAGACAAGCACAGCCCCGGGTGGTGCAGGGCACAGCACTTGCCCCAGCGCTAGCTGCAGCAGCCCCAGGAGAAGCCAACACCACCTGCCCACAGAAGTGAGTGGGGACAGGCAGAGCATGGTGCAACCCAACAGCTGCAGGCAGCTGTCGCCAGCCACTCCAGGAGCCACTGCAGCCAAGGCTGGGGTGAGTGCCACTCTGTTCCCCCTGCTTTGCTGCTTTGTGCAGCCCTGGCAGCAGCACCCCTTTGCTCGCCCCTTCCTTAGTCCCAGCCCCTCACTCCCTCCCTCCTCACTGCCATGGGAACCTATCCCTATTTGTTACATTGTAAAGTGGGTTCACTTTATGTGAATTCAATTTATGTGCCATTCTCCGGGAACACATGTATAGCATAAATCGAGGGAAACCTGTATCAAGGCATAAGAGTTTTCTCTTGTAAGTCTTTAGTTCTATTGCCAACCAAGTCTTATATGCAGCTATAAATCTTCAAGAGTATAATAAAGGTGAACTACATTTCACTATAATGGGATATGTTTTACACCGAGACATAGAGCATTAGGGATCCTATGTGTAATAGTCAGAGCTTCCCCATATTCATGTCAGAAAGAAGGATATAGTGCTGTGAACTGTGGTTGCCTTTCAACAGTATCTAAGTGTTCTTGTCCATGCCTACACTGATTCTGTTATGGCAGTGCTGCTATAGTTCAAGGGTTGATGGATATATGTTATAAAGCTTGCTCTGAAGTGCTCACAGGTGTTCTTGTTACATTTTGAGAGTAGTTTGCTTTAAATGGGTAGTTCATTTTTTATGTTCAGAATATTAAAAATGCTGCAGCCAAAGCAATGAATTGAATGCCAATGGCTACATTTTTAAAAAGCAGCTAAATGACCTCAGAGCCTAAGTTCCAGATTTGCAACATATTTAGTCACATAGCATATAGATAGGAGTAGATGTTGAGTGAATTTACAGAAGTGCCTAATTTCCATTGAAGTCGATCTGATTTTTTGGTGTTTAAACTGATGGATGCTTTTGTAGATCTCAGCTGGCATGTCTGCAACTTTTGTCACCAACTAACTTTGAAAATGTGGCTCTAAGTGCCTTTTGAATAAGGGATATAGGCACTTTTGAAATTGTTATCCTAAAGCTTGTTTAATAGTTTGAAAGCCATCCACTGATACTAAATTGAAGTAGCTAGTGAAGATCAAATACAGCAACAGTAATTTATTAATCTTATTCCAGAAACTGTTTAATTGTTCCTAAATCTCAATTATACAAATTATTTAAAAACTACTTCAAGATTTTATACTTCTTCAAAGTCTGTTCCCTGGAGCATATGACTACTATATAGTGACCTGAATCAACCATAATGCACACAAGAGCCTTCAGTCTAAATGGACAAGGCAGATAAAGGCTGGACAAAGACATGCCTTTGCTCCAGATTGAATGACAAGGGAGATAAATAGACTGACATGCCAATGCCTCCTTCTCACTATGAGCACATCTTTTCCACAGTCTTTCTCCAGGGTAAGTGCTCCCATAATCCAGTGTAGAAGTTTGGTTCTTCTGTAAATTATCATTAAAATGTTCTCTCTGACTGAATACTTACAGCAATTCACATGGTCAATTTCAAAAGTACCTTCTTTACTTCTCTCTTGTTTTTCAAATTAAGCTATCAGTATTTTTTAACAAATTCTAAGACTTCCTGGCTCATTGAAGATCTAAGGCACTGGTCTCTAACCTTTTTGTGGTGAAAATCACTTTTTGGCACCCGAGGATCTACTACTCCCCGCCTGCCCTGCCCTGCCCCCCCACCTCCTGGACAAGCTGCCCGGGCTCTGACCCCACTCACTGAACCCAGCCTAGGGAGCATGGCTCAGCCCAGCCATGTGTGCCTTGTTGCTCCTGATCATGGAACTTCTGACAGACTGAGATCAACTGTCAGAGGCTCCACGATCAACCAGACGAGATCAAGTGGTTGGTGACCACTGATCTAAGGGCATGATGATCACATTCAGTTTCAGAAAGCTACACTATAGGCTTAGGAATAATTGTGCTGCAGTCTGTTCTTCCTAATGCAAAAACGTTTCTCAGTGAAGATATAGTTAATCTCATTTCAGCATGACCTTTGAGCTCCATTGTCAGTTCCTCATCAGCAGAGGTATAATTATTTGTTTCTGTCCAGTAGTACTTGAAATCTGCACAGTAGAATCAGCCTTAACATTCTGATCTAGGTCTGTGAAAAGAAAAAGAGTCAGATGTTAAAGGATCTGAATCTGATTCAGGAAGTCTGTAACTTAATGTAGTTGTGTCTAGAGTAATTGCATCTTAGTTTCTGGCAGCCCTAGAAAAGTAACCTTCCATTGCTTAAAATATGTGAGAATTTATTGGAACCCTTTGAGACTGAGGTGTGCACTTGGTGTGAAATTTGTAGTAAATGGAGCTGGCTGGCAGCCATCCAGAGAGGACAGATACATGGCACTATTCAGTGGTGCTCTGCACTGTGGTCGACTCTAGTAAATGAGGACCCTCTAATTTTCTTTGCCTTAATTTCCTCCAATTCAGCCACTCCCTTTGAGCAAACAACGCATATGCTTTGGTTTGATCTCTATATAAGACTGGTAATCTCATCTATTTAATGGGCAAGATGATTATGTGCCTTTTCCACTGATTGTTTATTGGGAGCTTATGAATAAGAATTGAGAGAAAAAGAGAACCCTAAGTAGGAAAAAGTACTATATCAGAGCCAATGCTAGTCCTCTACCTCCTAAGGGCTAGGGACAGACATTCAAAAGCAAGAGCCTAAACTGATTCAATCTTTTCAGGTTAGCCTAACCTGCGTAGGATAAACTGATTTGCAACTGCATAGAAACACTCTGGGCTTATTTCACCACTTGCCCCAAGCAGGAAATGAGCGGTGGGGCAGTTGGGGCAGGCAGACCAGGGGGCAGTGGGGGGAAGATGTGGGGAATAATCCCCCTCCCTGCCCCCTCTGCCTCAGGGGCCATGCCAGCTGATGTCTGCTGCACCCATCCCTGCCACCAGAGCAGTGAGGGGAGAGCACCCGGCAGACACAGCTCAGTCCCTGCCGATGGGACAGGGAGGAGGAAATTAAACCTCTCTCTGGTCAGTTCAGCCAAGGCTACTGCCCAGGTTTGCCATTCCTCCGCCACTGGAACAGCCAGCATGGAGAAGTGCAGATCTGTACTGGTGAGACAGGGGAGGGAGGGGGGAAATAAACTTCTTCCTTGCTCCATTATAGGGCCAGCGTCTGGCTAGACCCCCGCCCCTGGCTGTCCCTGTTCTGGCTGGGGAGCAGAGGGGTAGGAACAGCCCTGCTGGGCTGGAACAGAGAGCCCAGCCCAGAAAGCATGCTGGGATGCTGGCAGGCTCTGGTTTAACTTAAACCAGGAAGGAATCTGGAGCAAACATTGCATAAACCAGGTTGAGCTCAAGTCTGAGCTACATTCAACCTGGTTTATCTCAAACTGGTTTTGGCCATTATGAAACTGGTTTATATGCACTGAACGTCTGTTCTGTTACAGGTTTAAACCAGTTTCTGGTCACTTAAACTGGTTTATGTGTAATGCCTGTCCCTAGCCAAAGAGACCTGTTTAGTTTCCTTTGTCTGGCTCATTGGAAATTACTAGGTTGCCTCTATTTTAGGCTGTCCTGTGAAGAAGCGGAGATTCTCATTAAGTGTACAGAGACTCGTCACGATTTGAATACAGATGTATTTATTCTAGGTGCTGTCTTTCCTTATTGTATTTTTAATGAGGGTAAAATTCTGTAATCATGTGTATAGTGTCATTCTGTAATCATGTATTCATTACACAGTGTCATTGATGACCTCAGTAGGAATGCCCAGGGAATAAGGATGGAATATCTATTACAGAAAGATATTATTCTACTCCAAACAATTTGTGACCTAAAATAGACTGACATATATGAAATGGATGCAGACATACGTTTCTTTCTAAGTACTGAAATTTCAACATCCTTAAAAAACATAGGGAGGTGTAACAAATCTTTTCTTACTAACAGCAGAATTAATATTTTTCAAATCCAAAAGAAGCTCGTCCAATACCCAAGAGAAACAAAACTTCATATTATCTGTCAGAAATAGTAATGCTGATTTACTGATATCTGCCTTCACAGCCACAGGTACAAGAGACCTGCATGTTTCTTCTTTTTTAACAAAACCACAAGACCCAAACATGGAGTTACTTCACAGTATATACTGGTTAGAGTTGACTCTTGTGGAGAGAGCCAGAAGAAAGCTTATTTATTACTTAAGTACCAGCATCAGATGTCAAAACTTTGCCATATGAAATTTACACTAAAAACTGAGTCTGTGCTTTCAGCTGTACAGAGTGAATATCACCCAGTTTTTATTTCATTAAAAGTTAATGATAAGTCAGGCCTCATTCAGCCTCAAGATACGGTTTACCAGGCCCAGTCACAACCCTTTTCTGTTCCCTTAGAAGTCAATAGAAACTCTTTTTTTTGTCTTCAGTACAAGGCAGAGTTGCATCTGTATGTGTTAGAAATTGGGCCATATGCTGCTGCGCTTAGTAACATTGCAACTCGGCTGCATTGATCTTGCAAAGTGTGAGCAGAATAACCAATCTGACTGGTGCAACTCTATTCTGCTAACTAAAGCAGTATTTGGCTAAGCTAACCTAGACAGGCTTCATTTAGGTGCTTGGAGCAGATTATATAGTTGGGGGTGGGGTGGGGAATTGTGTTACCTTTGTGAGGAAAAAATGTAAAATAGTTATAAAATACAGAAATGGTACAAGAAAATATCTCCTTCAGTGTCTCCATTTCCTTTTGTTTTGCAGAATATTGCAACATTTCAACACTGCTGCAGAAGATTACACTGTCATTTTCACATCTGGAAGCACAGCTGCACTTAAACTGGTAGCTGAAACATTCCCTTGGATACCTGAAGGCACAAAGGAACCAAGCAGTCGGTTTTGTTACCTAACTGACAGTCATACTTCTGTGGTGGGCATGAGGGGGATAACTGCTGTAATGAATGTGCTATCTGTTCCCGTGCAACCAAAGGACATGTTGTTATTAGAGAAAAACAAGGAACCAGCCAAAGAACAAAACTGCACCACACCACATCTTTTCTGTTATCCCGCTCAGAGCAATTTTTCAGGTACCAAATATCCTCTGTCATGGATTCAGAAGATTAAAGCCAGCGAGCTCTGCCCTGTCAGAATACCTGGGAAGTGGTTTGTTCTCCTGGATGCAGCTGCTTTTGTCAGCACCTCTCCGTTAGACTTAACAGTTCACACAGCAGACTTTGTGGCCGTTTCATTCTATAAAATCTTTGGCTTCCCCACTGGTTTAGGAGCACTTCTGGTAAACAACAAAATTGCACCTTTTCTTAGGAAGATCTACTTTGGAGGAGGAACTGCAGCTGCCTACCTTGCTGGAGAGGATTTCTACTCCCCAGGACAATCGATAGCAGAAAGGTAATGCATTGTTTAACAAAACTGGGTTTCATGCTGATACCTATTTGCATTAAACAAACTTACTCATTCTGCAGTACTTATTAGACTCTGAAATAAATCCATGTTTACTTATGCAGTTAGAAATGTATTCCCTCTCTAGTTCTGTCTTAGCATTCCTTTATCTTATTAAAAACCACCATCAAAATGACACCATTGGCCCTGGCTGCTAAAAGCACAAAATACTTTCTGATGACCTGGAAGCAAATCAGTGACTGAATTGAATTTTATATTTGAATAACCTCACTGTGAGAGTGATTTGTTTCTTGAAATTCCAAGTTCTGAGCAACTAAATCACAGTAGGACATGTTGAAAACTGGAAGTTAAAGTCAATAGGTCCTATAGATCAGATGGCTCAGCATTGGTGTTAATCAGAGGTTAATCAAAGTTAAAAATATGTGATTAAAATAAAATATACAGGACAAATTATTAACACTGTTGGGTTTCTAGGAGCAGGAGAGAGAGCTGTGCTGGTCAGAAAAAAAGTGGAGTATAATCAAGGTGTACCCCTCTGTTAAGCAGCCAAGGGTGGGTTGTTAGGAAAGATGGGGCCATGGGTAGGCTTCCTGTCCCCTAAAACAGGCCCTCTGGAAACTGGAATGAACAGGTCACCAATACTTGTTCTCATTGCACATCTTCTCTGGTGCTAAAACTACCCTTATAAATGCATTTATATGAATGGCTTCTTTTTTCAAATTCATCACGTGCAGCACAAAAGGCAGGCTTTTATTAGCCTTTAATATTAAACTATAGTACTTTATGGGGAAAAAATAATATGTAAGACCAATTATACCCTTCATTCATTTCTAAAAGTGACCAGAATAATTGATAAAACTCTTGGAATGCAGTTGATAGGTATACTAGCTGTCTGAAATCCTATATCTGCCATAATTTAACAGTCTCTTTATGTGGAGTGCTACCTACTGTGTACATTCCTCATGTAGGAGTATACTCTGAGTGCATCCAGGTTATTTTAGAAGTCTTCGTTCATGTTGGTTGCCTTTCGCAGCAACAGCCTGTTTATTTTCAATGCAGGGAATGTATACCTAGGAACAGATTGTATTCTACCTGGTACTGGTCTAAGTGGTCTTAAGTGCCTCGGTATAATTCTGGTCTCCTCAGTCCTTCATCTCTAACCCAGCCCAGACTTCTGGTTCTAAGCTCAGCCAATGAGGGTTAGAAATATGATAGAGATAGATCTGAAAGTGTGCTAATGAGTATAATAAAAGGGAACTGACATGATAGGATTCCAGGAAACCCCCAGAACCATCCAAAGCTAAGTATAAAACCACTCAGATTTCAGCTTTGCATATTTTGCCTACACTGTTGAATTCTCAAAGTAATTAGGAATTGGTTCTTATCTGTGCTGTAATTTGATGTTGATTTGTGCAGGTTCTATATTGTAGAAGATGAAATATGTATTGGGAACTGGTTCTGGAGCAATTTTCTTTGGTCGTTTAGAAAAATGAATCTGGGCTTGAATGGAGTATTTTTTCATGGCATCTTTTTCAAGAGTTTTCAGGAGATGGGGTTATTAGACTTTTGTTTGAGATGGTCAGACTGGAGGCTACAGGCTATTATGGAGCTATACTGTTCTCAGTGGTGACAGATGACAGAAAAGGTAGCAGTGGTCACAAGTTGAAGCGGGGGAAGTTTAGGTTGGATATTAGGAAAAACTTTCTCAGTGGTGAAGCACTGGAATGGGTTACCTAGCGAACATGGTGGAATCTCCATCCTTTGAAGTTTTTAAGGCCTAACTTGGCAAAGCCACTGGAATGATCTAGTTGGGAATAGTCCTGCTTTGAGCAGGGGGTTGGACTAGATGACCTGAGGTCCCTTCCAATGTTAATTTCCTATTATTCTGTGATATGATTCTATGTCTCAAGAGGAAGCTATTTTAAAAATTTATTTTCATTAGAAATTGAGCACATTCACTTGTTCCAATCTGATTCTGCAGCTGAGGTAGACCTAGGTTATCTCATTTATAAAAATGGGGCCTAAGTTACCCAAAAGCTATACCTGGATGCATAATAAGGTACCCAGTCATTTCACATACCTAAGTATAAAAGTCTAAATGTAAGATTTTACTTCTCCTGTCAAAACACCAGTATTTGAATATTAGCATCTAAACTTTCTTGGTTATTTTGAAGTCCTGATATTTTAATGTCATTTATATGGAAAGTGTAGATAGTGATGTCCAATCAAATTATGTAAGTCCAAAGTTTTGACAGCCGTGAATATTTCAAATTTGGTAATGTCAGGAATTTTGTTGCCAAGTTACTGGAAACTTGGGCTACTTAGAAAATCTCAGGCAGAAACTCACAGCTATTTTATTAGAAGCTAGTATGTTTTTCTAAAGAAGGTTATAATTTATTTATTTTTTAGTATCATCTTTAGTTGTAAGTGTAACCCGCTGGGTTGCAAAGGGTTAAGCATTTTTTTACAGATAAAACACTTGGCATTGCAGCTCTGATGTTTAAAATGCACTTCATTGCCAAGGCTAATATGCTAGTCATATTTCTGGGCCCATGTTTCCAACTCTGTGCAGGTGACTGAAACTGAAATCATCTGGGCTAGGGACAAACTGATTTAAGTGATCAGAAACTGGTTTAAACCTGTAATGGAATATAAGTTCAGTGCACAAAAAACAGTATGAAAATGGCTGAAACTGGTTTAAGATAAACCTGGTTGAATGTAGTATTATACTTAACTGATTTTGGTCAAACTGCTTTATTCAATGTCTTTCCAAGACCCCTTCCTGGTTTAAGTTAAACCCGAGTCCCACAGCATCCAAGATGCTTTGCAGCTGTGGCTGGGCTGGGATGTGTTGTCTGCCCCAGAGAGCAGAGCTGGTCACTAAGAGAGGGGGGTGTGTGTGTGTGTCCAATTTCATTGGGGCAGGCAGACAGAACAGTGTCCACTTAGAGCTTTTTTGCAGCTAATCAACTGGTCAGCTGGTGATGTCCCTCCATTCCTTCCTTGGAAAAATCTTTTTAAGAAGAGCTTAAACTAAGGAGAGAGGCTTTAGTTTTGTCAATGGGAGAGGAAGCCAGCAGGGGGCTGATAACACAGTGTTTATCAGCTCTTTGCTGGCTCCCTTGCCTGTCAGGTTTGCAGACAGTATGAAGAAGCAAGGAGAGGGAGATTTGTATCATCAACAAATGCATGCACTGCACCCCTCCCCCATGCCTCAGAGTGCTAGCTGGGGACCGGGGTCTGGCAACACTCCTGCCCCTTGAGCAACGAGGGAAAAGCCTGAGATGGTGCAGGCAGGGTTGGGGTTTACACCCCTCCCTAATCAGTGTCCTGCTGGGGCCTGGCCATACCCCCGCAGCTCAGCATTATGGAAGGGAAGGGAGGGCTACTCTAGCGCCTTCTGGCTTCTAGCCTGAGCGTTTGCAGGCATACACAGGCATTTTCCCAGTCCAGAGAAAATGTCTGTGCAGTTGCTAACCGGTTCAACCTAGGCAGGTTAGACTAACCCACAAAGATTGAATCAATTCAGGCTCAGGCTTTTTGAATGTCTGTCCCTAGCCTTGTTCTCTTAGAAATATTAACACTTGCCAAGTTTTCTTGTTTCCAGGTTATAATATTGGATATATCTCTACAGAACTCTTGTTGTATTTTCTCATTTGGTCTTTCTGCATGATGTTTTAGGGCTTGTTACTTAAAATGGTAAAAGTTCTTTTTGCAAGTGATAGTTTGTCAATAGATGTGAATATAATGAAACATAATCAGATGTATATGATATTTCACAAGGATACTCGAATTCTGAAAAAAAAATGCCATTGTTAAGGTTTTAGAGCCATATTTTTTTAATCCACTTGGGAGGAGGCATTCCCTGTCCTCACTTAATTAAAACACAGTTTTAATACAAGATTCTTTCAAGTCAGGGTGAGATTTGAGTGAGGGTTTATAAAATGTGATTTTCCTTGCCATTCCTTTCTGAAGAATGCCCAGATTGATACTTTCTGATTGCAGCTTTTCATGTTGTAATTCACATGTTGGGAATACCAGTGTTAAGGTATAAATTAATCTGCTTAGACTCCTTTGAATTGCTTGCACTCACTCAAATTCAGTTCTCAATTTTTCTCATTATATGGTAGATGCCTCTCTTGCAGTCCCTAACTTTTAAAAACCCATTTATTGGATTGTCATCCATGCATCAAACAGTTTAACAGATCATTATTATTATCATTCACAAATCTAACCTTATTTTCTGTCTTTTTTTCCTGCGTAGCATGGGATAATAGCATAATATGATTATGTATAGCAAGTATTCAGTGATAAAATATTCATTGTCTGCTTTATTTTTTCTTTTGTGTTATAGATTGCTATTCAGGTACTGATTGTTCTGAAATCCATTACTAAGGCAATAGTAGATGTTGTTATACCTGTAAATGAGATAGCTGTGTCTCAATCAGCCAGTCTGACGTATCCATCCTGTTTGTTTTAGAAGTATGTTTTATGTCTGAGAAGCATTTCAAAAACAGCCTGGAAATATACAGTTTCCCCTGAGTTTATATAGAGCTAGATGCATCAGCTCATGAGAGGGGAAATTCTGATCTCTGTGCCTGGTGTGAGTATTTTGGCTGGGCCTTAGGAAGATTTGTAGGAATCGAATAATCGGCCCCTGTGCATGGAATAGCAGTAGAACCATTTTGCAGAGGCTACTCTGGTTAACTGACTGGAGCAAAGAGCTTGGCTAGCTCCAGGTCTGTTGCCTGCCCTTATTAAAGTGGAGGGAAAAAAGAGTCAGACAGTCATGGACACATTAGTACAGTCCTAACCCAACTCAAAACACATTCTCTGTAATATAAAGAGATCAGAGAGAAAGGCACATCACTTAGGCATCTAAAGCAATTTATGCCCTTCCCACTACTTTCACAATCAGGGGATTCCCCACACCCACTTTTTTAAGGGCAATCTATCTTCAATTTCTTTAACAGGAAATAAATGGTAGA